TATTAACTATTTTGTGAGAGAGAGCACAAGCAGGGGGAAGGGGCAGAGGGAGAAGCAGACTCCCCACCAAGCAGGGAGCCCAATGTGGGACTGGACCTCAAGATCCTGGAATCATGACCTGAGCCGTAGGCAGATGTTAACCACTGAGCCAACCAGGTGCCCAATGAAGATTTTCTTACTCAAGATTCTATATGCCATTCCCAAAAGAACACTTTTCTGTTGTAAATTACCAAGGAAAATTAAAACAATTCCATGTTATACTCGTTGCAATACTAATTGTTTTTTTCTCCTGGGGTGGGTATGCACAGGTAATCTGTAGAACACAAAAATAATCGACAATGAAATACAATACTTCCCTTTGGCAGAATACTAAAGGCTGCTACCAAGGGCTCTATTATCTATATAATCATTTTTTTCTGTTGCTATATTAAAATACATTGTATTTATTTAATAATGCTAGTACCATGACTACATTTGAAATTTAGAAGTACAAATACCATTTTTAAATGGTTGATAGGGGCGCCTGGGTGGCTCAGTGGGTTAAAGCCTCTGCCTTAGGCTTAGGTCGTGATCCTGGGGTCCTGGGATCGAGCTCCCCTTTCAGGCTCTCTGCTCAGCGGGGAGCCTGCTTCCCCTTTCTCTCTCTGCCTGCCTCTCTGCCTCCTTGTGATCTCTGTCTGTCAAATAAATAAATAAAATCTTTTTAAAAAAATAAATAAATGGTTGATAAAATACCTAATTTTTGAATTCTAAGAGTAAATACAAATATGTCTTAGCCTGTTGGGACTGCTGTAACAGAATACAATGGGTCACTTACGGACAATAGAAATTAATTTCTCATAGTTCCGGAGGCTGGACGTCCGTGATCAGGGTGCCAATGTGGTCAAGTTCTGGTGACAAGCCTCTCCAGGTTGCAGACTGCGGACTTCTGCTGTGTCCTCACATGGTGGAAGGGTAAACGTTGTAAAATATCAGTCACAAGCTCAATAAAAGTTCCTAGGAGTTAACCTAATAAAGAATGCCCAGGACAATACGAATACTTATTCTGTGTTTATTTCAGATACGACATTGGTCAAAACAAGAGGAGCTTACATCTGGAGTGGAGAGAGGAAGGGAGTAAACAGATAACATAAATATATGTCAAGTAGAGATAAGCATCATTAAAATAATGACGGTGTGTAAGGGAGATAGTGAATGGCATTATTGGGCCCCCCTATTTTGTATACAGTGTTGAGAGAAGACGCTGGTGTTAAAGATGATATTCAAACAGGGTTTGGAAAAGATGAGCGAGTGAGGGCTATGGGGATATCTGGGGATAGAGTTTGGCATGTTGATGAGACTAGAGTGGATTGAGGATGGGGGTGGAGTGTAAAGTAGTGGTAAGGGATAATGGAGAGAGATATAAGGTTGGAGACTGAGTCAGATCGCAGATTTCTGTGGGGTAAGATGATCTGACACCACAGAACACACGCGCGCGCGCACACACACACACACACACACACACAACATTGTAACCAAGTATGCACAAACACAGAACAGAAAGAAAAGTGCATTGAAACCGGACACATTATTACTACCTGTAGTAAACTCTAATGTTTTTACTTCTTTTCTGTTCTGTTTCACTCTCTAAAAATGCTGATTGTGGAGGGCCTGGGTGGCTTAGTTGGTTAAGCATCTGTCTTCGGCTCAGGTCATGATCTCAGGGTCCTGGGATGAAGCCCCACGTCTGGCTCCCAGGGAGACTGCTTCTCCCTCTTCCTTTGCCTCTCCCCCTGCTTGTGCACTTTCTCTCTCTCTCTCTCTCTCTCTCTAATGAATAATAAAAAAATTTTAAAAATAAAAATGCTTTATATTTTGTGTGGCACTAAACTGATTACAAGGACCCTTAATAGTAGAGAAGCCAACCAAAAATTCTTAGCATAGGAAACAGATGATCTAATCTGCTTTATTTTTAAAGTGAATTTGTATTGTCAAATTTACTTTATGACAATTTCAAACATACTACTTTGAGGTAATAACATAATGAATGCTCATTTATCTATCACCCATTGTCAATAACTATCACCAATTTGCCATTCCTGTTGCATCTATCACCTTACACAATTAAAATAAAGCATTAGACTACTGGGGGCTATGGGATTTGGGGGGTGTGTAGTGTGGACACAGGGGGGGTGAGTCCAGCTGGTAGAGCATTCCATGGGATTTTCCTACCAAATCCAAAACTGTATAGGCCTCAGCATTCCTTTTGAAACCCTGGCATAAGGGTCTCATGGTCCAGGTTTGCTTTCTTTATATTTTTGTTTAATTTATTTATTTGACAGAGATCATAAGTAGGCAGAGAGGCAGGCAGAGAGAGAGATGGGGAAGCAGGTTCCCCTCTGGGCAGAGAGCCTGAAAAGGGGGCTCAGTCCCAGGACCCTGAGATTATGACCTGAGCTGAAGGCAGAGGCTTAACCCACTGAACCACCCAGGCGCCCCTGGGTTTTGCTTTTTTTTTTTTTTTTTTTTTAAGATTTTATTTATTCATTTGACAGAGAGATCACAAGCAGGCAGAGAGGCAGGCAGAGAGAGAGGAGGAAGCTGGCTCCCCTAGACAGCAGAGAGCCCGATGCTGGGCTCGATCCCAGGACTCTGAGATCATGACCTGAGCCGAAGGCAGCGGCTTAACCCACTGAGCCACCCAGGCGCCCCGGGTTTTGCTTTTTTAAGAGCAGCATTTTTGTGACGCTCCCTGCGCTCTGGGTAGAAAAGTGCTTAGAAAGACAGGATCTGGGGCACAGATATGAAGCATGGATAGGCTGGGCTTATGTAGAGGTTGTCCTCCTCAGGGATGGGGTGGGGAGTGGAGGTAGTGGTGAGCCTGGGGGTTTGTCCTAGAAGCTGAGGGTACGCACCCTCTCCACACTTCCTGCTTCTGGAAGTGATAAAGAAGACACCAACAGCTCAACTGTCTTCCGTCTTGTCGCAGTAGAACCGAGTAGCAGTACAGTCGGATGGGCCCACCGCGGAGAGTTGGCTGTAGAATATACCCCCAAAAGGCTAAATTAACTGAACCTGGATACATATAACATCAACCTCTAAGGGATCTGGAGGACTGTCATGCATGTGGAAATGGCTAGCAAAAAGGAAATAATGGGAACAACGCGGCCGTCTTTTGGACTGAGACATGTGAACACCAACGTGCTGAGAACAGTAATGCAGTAGATGTGTTTATCGCCCGGGGAGAGTCACCTCTCAGCGTCTCAGAATACCACACTTCGGTGACAAGAACCCAAAAGGCCATCAGAAGACCCGGGCTCTGCGCTAAGGGTGCAGGAGCGTGGGAACCACTGAGATCTGCCCCAGAATGTGAGAGCACAGGGCATCCGCCGGGATTCCTGGAGATGCAGAACCTCGAGCTGTCGCGTTGGGCTTTCTGAAGCAGGGCTGCAGCTCCGCTTATTCTAAGAAGAGTAACCAGAGGGACTAGCTCACCCGAGGAGAGCTCTGCCCTCCCCTCCCCAAACACTCTAGACAGTCCTTGATGGTTTAGTAAACGCCCCCAAAGTTTCCTGTCCACTTTCGCAGGGCTGCAACATTAACCTCTCTTTTTAGGGCCACTCAAGAGGTTGCCTGTGAGGCAGAACAAGCTGGAGTCTGGGAGGTCAGGGCCAAGCTTCAACTCAGTCCGGCGGGGGCTTGTCCGAACGCAGGCACCAGGTAGGGCCAGACTACATTTCCCAGGAGCCTCGGCGCGCGCTTCCGCTTCCGGCTCCTTTGTCGCGACCCGCTCCGCTCCCGGCTAGTATATTCTCGTTCTCCTCTCTATAATGAAGAGCTTGCTGTCCCGACGTGGAAGGAGCAGACGTTGGACAGGGGTGTGTGTCCAGCAGGGGGTTGTCAGGCTTGGGTGTCTGGCCGCGCGTCCCACTGGAGATCTCCCTGGACCCGCTGACCTGCCCGTAATCCCTTCTGGAGCTGGGGAGCTGTCCTGGCTCCGCCACCTTGACCCTGCCCCTCTGCTCTGAGTTTTGTGGGTACGTGATGGTGGTGTGTACGTGTGTTTAAGTCTGAGACCTGTCCAGGCCCTTTACTCGGAAACGGGCTGGGAGCCCGCACAGCCTGAAGCGCTTGGCTAGGTGAGGCAAGTAGGGCCCGAGGTCGTCAAGGCTTCCAGGTCAGAGACCGACGCGCGTCTGCCCTTGGGCCCTTGCAGCCCACGGCGTGGTGGATCCATTGTGTAGACTGAGATAATGTTGACGAGGGAGGGCGTGGACGTAAGAGATCTTTGTCTGCATCTCGAGAAAGCGGCCCTTGCTCAGGGATGTGTCCGTAGGCAAGTTACTGAGCTTTGCCTCGGCTGTTCCTTATCTGTCAAGTTTATTGTCCGTACCTTATGTGGTGATTTTGAGGATTCAGTGGAAATTTGGTATGAAACAGTTAAACAGTTGACACAGTGCCAGCACTAAGTAAGGGCTCAATCAGGAGTAGTCATTATGAAAAGTAGGTATCCACCTCCCCATTTGTACATAAAAACCAACTGGAACCCAGGAAGAAAAAATTACTTGTTTTGGGTCACCTAGCCATCTGGTACATAGAAATGAGAACCCAGGCGCCTTCACTTCCAGCAGGGCGCTTGCTACTACGGCCTGCACTGGTATATACTTCAGGCATGTTAGTAACAATGTCTTTACCTGTGCTGTCTGTGATTATCTATGTTCCTGTGTGTCTGTCTCTGCAGGCCCTTGGGGAAAGGTTCCCTGAGAACATTTCCTGAGACTTCCCTGTGAATAGGGCTTCCTGAAGCCTGAATGATTGCTGAACTTCTTTAGTCTTAGCTCAAAATATACTGTGTCGGACTCCCCAATCACTGTTATGAATGGGGTCTTAGAGAATGAAGGGAGAAATACAATGAAAAAGAAGAATTCAGTCCAGAATCTCTCACTAGAGTCTCTGGGAGAATGCTGGTAATCCCCAGGAAGAGACATGGAGGATTTGGATGAAGTTGCTTTACCCAAATGGTGCAAAGGCTATGGTTATGGTGGATCAGAACCACGAACTCCGAAACAGAGGTAAGAAACACAAGTGAGAGGCTTCTGTGGCTAGGTTAGCTGGACACCTGCAGTGTGCACACAATAATCTCATTTTAGTTTTTCTTTACAGCAGCCTTGTAAAATGTGCATGGGCAACTCTGAGCCCTTGGGCAAGTCACCAGTTTCTTCGTTTGTAACAAGTGATTTATGGAGAGCATCTGGTATATAGTGAGTGCTCCATAAGTAGTAGTAATTTCACTATTATCATTCCCGTTTCACTTGAAACTCTAAAAAGTAAGACATCTCACTCTCCATACTCTATTTTACCTAATGCCTCTCCAAAGGATGAGAGGGGGCAAGTCAGACTCCTTGGACAGAGAAAGGGAAATGGGCATGGAGAAGCAGATGATTTGAACTGGCATTCTAGTACATGGGAGAGGTCAAGTGCAGAGCTGGGGCCTGCATCTGCAGGGTCCACTGCCCAATTCTGGCAGGATTGAGAATTGCTCCTGACTTCTTTCAATATCTTTTTTTTTTTAAGATTTTATTTATTTGACAGACAGAGATCATAAGTAGGCAGAGAGGCAAGCAGAGAGAGAGGAGGAAGCAGGCTGCCTGCAGAGCAAAGAGCCCTATGTGGGGCTCGATCCCAGGACCCTGGGATCATGACCTGAGCCGAAGGCAGAGGCTTTAACCCACTGAGCCACCCAGGTGCCCCTCTTTCAATATCTTTTAAGAAGTATTCTCTCTCAAGGAGATACAAAAGGAGGGCACCTGGGTGGCTCAGTGGGTTAAGCCTCTGCCTTCGGCTTGAGTCGTGATCTCAGGGTCCTGGGATCAAGCCCCACAACAGGCTCTCAGCTCAGCAGGGAGCCTGCTCCCCCCTACCCTTTTCTCTGCCTGCTGCTCTGCATACTTGTCTCTCTCTCTGTCAAATAAATAAAATCTTTAAAAAAAAAAAAAAAGGAGGTACAAAAGGATGGCCCAGATGAGAAGGGGCTTCCATGGTCTAGCTTCAGTCTGTTTGGTTTTCCCAGACATCCTGACCTCAGCCCCTCTGATTTCCCAAGGTCCTGAACCTTACAAGTTCCCGTCTCTATCCCATCCTTCACTGATTGTCGGAGTTCAGTACAGGGAACGGACAGGCATCCTCTGGGGAAGTAGGGGTTTGGGGTATGGCTATATACACTGATGGATGATGCCTTTTGCTTTCATAAAGGATAGAAGAACCTATAACATTTTGGCTACTGGTGATATGCAGAAAATAATAAGAATAAGAATTAACTGATAAATGACCTTTACTGAATGCTTATTCTGTATCAGGTACTGATTTAGGCCCTTTATATACATTAATGGGCAATGCTTTGAAGTAGGTACCATTGTTATTCCCATTTCTCCAGTGGGGAAGCTGAAGCACAGAAGAAACTTGCCTACAGCCATGCAGAGCCAGGATTTTAAAGCAGGCAGGCAGCCTCCGGAGCCATTGTTTTAGTGAGAAAGCATGGTAGGGGTTATAGATTTGTTTTTTAAATTGTGAAACTCTGTGCTGTTTATAATGATAAGGGCTTGAAATTTCTCCTTCTTCCCCAAACAAATCCACAAGAGACATTTTTAAAATAAAAAGATTGATTGATTTATTAGAGAGAGAGAGAGTGCATGAGTACACGGGGAGGGTCAGGGAGAGAGGGAAAGGCAGAGAGAAAATCTCCAGCACACTCCCCACTGAGCAGGGAGCCCTATATGGGGCTCAGTCCCACGATCCCCAAGACCATGACCTGAGCCTAAATCAAGAGTCTGACATTTAACTGACTGAGCCACTCAGGCGCCCCCATAGGGGGCTTAAAGTATTGCTTTTTGGTGGTGGGGGAGAGTGAGGGTTCAAGAAATAATAAACTGTGGAATATTAGGAAGACAGAATTATATGGAGGATAAAATAAATGACATATAACCCCACCACCCAAAGATAAGCTCAAAGAAGTGCTCAATGTTGATATTATTGGTTTTCTCCCAGTAGGCAAATAATCAAAATGGGAAAGGAGATCGTGAGCAGCAGGTTGCTCGATAGGCGTGGAGTCAAAGTAGTTAGGGGGATTATGAGTTCATTCTCAACACTTTGGGGCTCCTGCCACCAGGCATAGTATGTTGGGTGCTTGGGATGCAGGGGAGTACGAGATGACAGACTATGATTCAGCGGATCCCATGTGTGGTGTCACGAACCTAGCATGGCTGCAGTCTTAGCGGGGGCCTGGAATAGTCACGATCTGTTGGCTGGTGCTTCCTGTGCCCTAAACTGCCAGGATAGGTCCTGTTGCCCTTTGCCTCCATGGCTCCTTTTCCTTGTTCTATGAAGTTGGAAAGTTTCTCTGTTTGTAAATAGAGGAGTCGAGGCAGGAGGTCTGGAACCTTCGTGCCAGCCCTAATAGTATATGGGTTTTTGGTGTTACCACAGGGATCCCCATTTTCTCAGAGCACAGGCTCAGGCTTATCCCGGACACAGTTAATGATCATACCTTTCCCTGACTTAGTTTACATTCAGTCAACTCTCTGAGGTTATCTTGGAAGCCTCATTACACAGGTGTCTGTGGGATCCTTCCAACCACATGACAGCCAAGGTCAGAGGCACTTTTTGTCATAAGTGGCTCTTTTTAATATAATGGGTCCGAGACACACAATAACAAACTGGGTTCCTGGGGCTGCCTGGGTGGCTCAGTAGGTTAAGCCTCTGCCTTCAGCTCAGGTCATGATCTCAGGGTCCTGGGATCGAGTCCCGCCTCGGGCTCCCTGCTAGGCAGGGAGCCTGCTTCCTCCTCCCTCTCTCTCTCTCTCTCTCTCCCTCTCTGCCTACTTGTGATCTCTCTCTGTCAAATAAATAAAATCTTTAAAAATAATAATAAAATAAATAAATAAATAAATAAATAAACTGGGTTCCTTTATTATTCTTCCCTTCCAGTTCTGGCATCAAGGGAGTCTGCCCTTTTCCAAAAGGGGTATCTTGAGGAGGAGAATATGGCTGCTCTTCCCCACTCAGCAAAGTCCCAGGTGAGCTGGGGATTTTCCTCTCATTCCTAAAACCTCATCTCAATTCCTGAAGCAAATAAATTTTCCCTCTCATCCCATGAAGCTCATCAGTCCTATTAGCCTGGGCAGTTTTCAAAGATGGGATTAAGAAAGTGGGATGGTGGGGCGCCTGGGTGGCTCAGTGGGTTAAGCCTCTGCCTTTGGCTGGGGCCATGATCCCAGGGTCCTGGGATCGAGCGCCACGTCGGGTTCTTTGCTCAGCGGGGAGCCTGCTTCCTCCTCTCTCTCTGCCTGCCTCTCTGCCTACTTGTGATCTCTGTCTGTCAAATAAATAAAATCTTTTTAAAAAATAAAAAAGAAATTAAAAAAAAAAAGAAAGTGGGATGGGCCGCCAGCAACATGGCAACTGGGTGTTTTTTACTGTGAAAATAGCACTGAAGGTGGGGCTTGGCAGTCTCTCCCATCGGTTGGCCACAGAGGACAGAGGACCCAGAGCAGGGTGGAGAGAGAGCCAGGTTCCCCTTTGTCCACTTGAGGCATTTGGCTTAGATCAGCAAAGGCACGTGAGGTACCTTTTGTATCCGTGTGCTGTGAGGAGAAAAGACCCATCCACAAATCCGTGTGGCACTAATCAGCCAGTTTACTGACCCTCTGCTTCAGGGAGAATGTTGGATGGTTTCAGAAGAGAGCGAGCAAGCATGTCTGGCTGAGAGAGTTTAGGGAGGGCTTTATTCATTCAGCTGGCATCTTTGAGCCCTTTTAAGGAGCCCCGGGCTAATAGAAGCAGTGAGATTTACAGCAGGCCCTGAAGGATAAATAAGTTTTTTTTTTTTTTAAGATTGTATTTATTTATTTATTTTATTTTATTTTTTATTTTTTTAAGGATTTTATTTATTTGACAGACAGATCACTGGTAGGCAGAGAGGCAGGCAGAGAGAGAGGAGGAAGCGGGCTCCCTGCTGAGCAGAGAGCCCGATGCGGGGCTCGATCCCAGGACCCTTACCCACTGGGCCACCCAGGCGCCCCTTATTTACTTATTTTAGAGAGAGAGCAGGGTGACGGGCAGAGGGAGAGGGAGAGAAAATCTTGAGCAGACTCTGCTTGTGTGCAGATCCTGAACTCGATCTCATGACCCTAAAATCAGGACGAAATCAAGAGTCAGACACTTAATGACTGAGCCACCCAAGCGCCCTGGATGAGTAGATTTTTGAGAAGAAATATTTGGGAAGTCAATGACATAAGTGGCTTAATATTGAGGAAAGGTACTACTTCTTCTGAGACAGGAAAAAAGGAAGTACAAAGTACATTGAAATCATGGATATGGGACACCTGGGTGGCTCTGTCTGTTGAGTGCCTGCCTTCAGCTCAAGTCATGATCCCGGGGTCCTGGGATCGAGCCCCAAGTTGGGCTCCATGCCCAGAGGGGAACCTGCTTCTCCCTCCACTTCCTGCTCCCCCTGATTGTGCTTTCTCTCTTTCTCTCTCTGGCAAATAAACAATAAATAAAATCTTAAAAAAAAAAAAAAAAGAAAGAAATCATGGATATATTGTCCTATAAAAACTTAAGCTTCTGATCCCTTCGCCGTATACTAATAATCACACAAAATTCTTTCCTGGCTATAAGTCTCAAGCTTGGTATATTTCTCAGTTTGTTACATACTATGTCTCTTTCTTAATGAAGATAACTTTTAAGGCTTGCTGAGCAATAGGCTTGGATGGGAACACCATATCCTTAACTTGATCTTTTTCATAGGGCTAAGTTACTTTGTTTAGCTGGGAAGTTTCAATGGACCTTTGTTGTACAAAGCCTTTTTTAGACTTCCTATTGTACGAGATCTAGAAACAAGTTTGCTTTTCCAGCCAGTGAAGCCCCAAATTTCTGGACTCTGTATTCTGTTTGTTTTAGCTTGAAAATTGGTAAATTCTTTCCTGGGCTCAACTCTTTTTTTCTTTGCCAAATATATCCAGAAGCATCCTGCACAAGCTAGCATTCTGGCTCTTGTCCAACTTATTCCCCCAGAGCTACAGGGCCAGTGAACTTTTGGTCTGCCTTCCCAGGTACTAATTACTTTGCGGGTTGTAGATTAAGAGTCTACATCAGGGGCGCCTGGGTGGCTCAGTGGGTTAAGCCTCTGCCTTCGGCTCAGGTCATGATCTCAGGGTCCTGGGATCGAGTCCCACAGGAGCCTGCTTCTCCTTCTCCATCTGCCTGCTGCTCTCCCTACTTGTGATCTCTCTCTCTCTGTCAAATAAATAAACAAAATCTTAAAAAAAAAAAAAAAAAAAAGAGTCTACATCTTTCCAGCCTTAACTACCTGTTTCTTTGAAGCTTGCCACCTGACTATCAAGCCTTTGCCCCTGTATATTTTAGGTGTTTCTTTTGATACCTTCTACTTGAGGGTGTGAGTTTCTGAATTAATTGGGATTGGCTAACTTGTAACTGGTAAAACTGATAGACCCAGAATGTGTAGTAGCCCTAGTGTAATAGTTTATTTCTTGTTCTTGTAACCGTATGACTGGGTCACAGGTTGATAGGGTGGCCATTCAGGGCCTTGAGCTATCTGAAGCTCTAATATCTGTACCACATGGGTCCCAAACTCACTTTTGGGGTCATCTCCATGACCCGGGCACAAGGGGAAACCAGCATGGAGGAACGTATGTGAGTCTGGCCTGGAAACTGGTGCATCTCACTTCTGTTTGCATTCTCTTGGCTTAAACTCCGCCACATGGCCACATCTAACTGCAGAGGAGACTGGGAAATGTTTGTCCACCTAGAAAGAGGAGGAGGGGACGTGTCCTTTAGTGAGCAGTTAGCTGCTTCTGCCACTCTCCTCAAATATTTAGGTTATTTAGAACTATTTTGCTATTGCAAATTATAAATGGACGAGGAATCTGGTGATAACTCTTTACTCATATCTCCGATCATTTTATTACAGTTGATTTCTAGATATAAGATCAGTATGTCAAAGGGTATAATATTTAAGGATCTTTAACCTACGAGTCTGTGTGCCTTTGACACTATGAACATGGTTGGATCCATTTCCTCTCCATTCCGTGGATCTCCCCTAATTCTGCCTTATTCAGCCGTTACTTCCGAACCCGTGCAGGTGCTTCAGGGCTTGTCTTTCAAGGACGTGGCTGTGAACTTCACCGAGGAAGAATGGAGAGAACTGGATCCCGCTCAGAGAGACTTGTACAGGGATGTAATGCTTGAGAACTACAGGAACCTGGTCTCCTTGGGTAAGGTTGGGTACTCACCGCAGGTAGGCATGTTGGGATGCCATTGCTTTCTAAAGATTCCCGTGCTCCTGTTAGGGGATGATCAGAAAGGAGGCTTTGGGGGGAGTCTGGATGGCTCAGTCAGTTAAGCATCCGATTCTTGATTTCAGCTCAGGTCATGATCTCAGAGTCGTGGGATCCAGCCCCGTATGGGACCCTGTGCTCAGCAGGGACTCAGCTTGTCCCTCTTCCTCTGCTCCTCCCCCCACCTGCCAAAAGAAAGGAAGAAAGCAAGGAAGGAAGGAGGCTTTGGTTAACGTATTCCTCCAGGACCCAGAGCAGATCCTTAAACTGTTTCTCCCCCTACTTTGGTAGAAAATATATAATTGCTTTTGACAATTAGTTATCTTGTTTTCTGCTTTTGAAAACACAAGAGTGGGACTGAAAATGGGGTGATCCTTTGTCTCAGAAGCTGACAGTCACATGCTGTTTCTTTTCCTTGAGTAGGATTTCCATTTTCTAAGCCTGATATCATCTCCCAATTGGAAAAAGCAGAAAACCGATGGATGCAGGAGAGAGAAGTACCCAGAAGCAGCTGCATATGTAAGTGAGAGTAAAGCAGACAACTGATCTTTTGAAATATGAGTTAGGGGTTCTTCCCCAAATCCTCCAAGTCTGTGGAAAATATTGAGACTCAATTATTTAATATTGATTAATATTGATTATTAATTATTAATAATTATTAATTGATACTGGTTATTTAATATTTATATCAATATTAATATTGAGTCTCAATATTTTCTACAGTCTCATTTTCATTTGGACATATCAGAGTCTTGTTAGGCCAACTCTGCTTCTTCCCAGACCCAAGGAAGGGTACTTCCTTCTTAAGTTATAACTCTGACACTTGATCCAGTGATCACGGTGGTGCCTCACTCCAGCATTTTATGAGGTCATTCCCTTTTCCTTTCTAGAGGCTGGAGTCTCTCCCCCATTTACTTTGTCTTCGTTGTACCTAGGTTTTGCCTACCTAAAAAGTGAGAAGAGAATGAAAGAATTTGAATGTAAGTTTAAGGAACGTGATCTCACATCCAATTTTAAGGTTGTAAAATTGATAGAATTTGCTGACCATATGTAGGAGATGGAGGAGAAATAGACAAAGGTGATTTACAGGTTTCTGGCTTGGCTGTGTAGGTAGATGGAAGTTCATTTCCCTGAGATGGAAAACATAGGAGAAATGGCGAGTTTAGGGGGTGGTGGGATGGAAGGTGAGTTCTGTTTCTTCTGTTTGAAGAGTCTGTAGCAGATCTAAACCAGTGGTTCTCAAACAGGGTCGGTTTTGCCCCCAGGGGACATGTCTGAAGACTGGGAGGATGCTATGGGCATCTAGTGGGTCAAGGCCAAAGATGGTACCAAGTATCCTACCATGCACAGGACAGCCCCTCCCAAAAAGACTTGTCTGACAAAACGTCAGTACTGCTGCAGTTGAGAAAATTAAGTAGGGGTGTCTAGAAGGTAGACAAATATATGGAGGAGATGTCAAATGGATCTTGGCGAGGGAAAGAGATACCTGGTGGTACAGCAAATAAGTGGTAATTAAAGACACTGGAGTGGATAAAATATGAAAAGAGAGAAATAGGGCATGAAAAGAGTTGCAAGACAACTTAGAAACCCAATGAACGTACAGATTTAAATATCTGCTGGCTGGCTGTCTGATATAGAATATATCTATATCACTTGTGTACTTAAAAAAAAAACACGTGGGTGGGGCGCCTGGGTGGCTCAGAGGGTTAAAGCCTCTGCCTTCTGCTCAGGTCATGATCTCAGGGTCCTGGGATCGAGCCCCACATCGGGCTCTCTGCTCAGTGGGGAGCCTGCTTCCTCCTCTCTCTCTCTGCCTGCCTCTCTGCCTACTTGTGATCTCTCTCTCTGTCAAATAAATAAATAAAATCTTAAAAAAACATGTGGGCAAAATGGTGTCAAAATAATAAAATAGCAATGATTCTTAATAATGGGTGATGGCAGGAGAGATATGTTATACAGATTTTATCAAAATAAATGAAGAAAAGGGAATCCAGAAAGGATACTAGGAAAGGGTGGCCAGAGTAGAAGGAAACCAGGTCAGGTTCTTGTCAGAGAAGCCCGCAGAAAAGAGCATTTTAAGGAGGGGAGGTGTGCATAGTGATAGACACTAGAGAGGTCAAGTAAGGACCTGAAGAATGTCCATTGGACTTAACAGGTAGTTCCTTCTTTTTAGCTAACGTGGTAGTGGATTAGTCCCCTGCTACCATCTCTCCCCCCTAGTTAACTTATGTTGTCTTCTTTTAACTTTCATTTTCCTACATTATATAAGGTTTTCAAAGCCACATACTGAGTTTACTTTGAAGATAGTCCAGCTTGCAAAACACAGTGTTGTTTGTCTTACCCTTCATCAGGCTGAAAAACTACTTACAAGATCTAATTACAAAGTCCCAACTTTACAACAATTAAAATGTCATGTATAGCTTACCCATAAGAAAGCTGAAGTAGTACTAGTAGTAAGCCCAAGCCCTGATCCTCCTAAAATTTCTGCATCCTCCTGAACTTTGACCCTCTTTGTCTTTTCTTGGGGCATGTACGTGTGTATTTTGGGAGGCCCAGAGAGAGGGGGAAAAAGGGAAAGCTGAAGGAAGTCTCTGGCAAATGCTAACATTCAGGGTAGCAAAGGAAATACGGCTAATGATTTAACTGAATCCAACAGCACCCTCAGGCATAATCAAGGAGAGTTACTGGGGAGCTGTGCCAGTGGGAGTGGAAGAGGGAGGCATTGAAGGATGACCCTAGCAGGAGTGAACTCCAGACAGGGAACGTGGGACTGCTGGTGGTGGTGGCACCAGAAGCCAGGGAACATTCTCGTGGTTCAAAAGCTAGGGGCAGCTATCATTCCAGTGTATGGTACCGATCGTTTCCATTTGAAATCTCTCTCACTCATATTTTACAGCATTCATCATTCTTGAAAATATTTAATACTTGTTTTCCCCAAAAGACTGTAAATCTCAGAAAGGTACTACATCTGCTTTGTTTATCATTGAATCCTGGCATATAACACAGTGCCTAGCCCGTAATAGGTGTTCAATAAATTATCTGTTGACTACTTGACTTATACTTGTGACTAATGGTATGTATGCAATTTTATTATCTCATTCCTACTTGAGTCATTTCCTTCTTCTAGTACAGGGAACATTTTTACTTTTCCTCTCCAGATTTGGAGACCAGAAGGTCAAACCCAAAGGAGGTATTTTCTGGAAAAGAATCATACCAGGGGATAAATATGGAGAAAAGCACAGGGGCTGATGTTCCTTCCAGTTTGAAGGAAGCCTGGGGATATGCAGAGACCAAAGAGGATGCTCAAGATAGACTCGGGAAAGAAGCAACAGTTCTCTTCACGAAAAGAACTTCTATGGCCAATAGTAACCCCAAATGTATTGAATCTGGCAGACATGTTAGTCTGAAGTCAGACTTTGTTATACAATCAAGACACCCCGAAGAAGAGAGACCTTATACATCTGATGCTCAGGGAAAGAGCTTTAAACAGAATTCAAAATTAATAAGACATCAGAAAAAGAGCATAAATGAGAAAGCTCTTCAGGGTAATGTATGTAGTAAAATACTCAGTGATCATTCAGTTTATGTTCAACATTGTACAGTTCATAAAGGAGAAAAAAATATGGAACATAATCAGAATGGGAAGACCTTTGGTCATGGTATACACCGCACGGAACATCAGAAAAATAATACTGCAGAGAAGACTTATGAAGATAGGAAAGTCTACACCTGGAACTCACACCTTGCCAAACATCATCAGAACGTTCATGGTGGGCAGGTACATGAAAGAGCCTTAATTCAGAATGCACCATTTATTCCGCATCAGAGATCTGAACATGGAGAGAAACCTTATGAATGTAGTGAATGTGGAAAAACTTTTGGGAATTACTCAGCCCTTACAGTACATCAGAGAATTCACACTGGAGAGAAACCCTATGCATGCAAGGAATGTGGGAAAGCCTTTAATCATAACGTCTCTCTTATTCAACACCAGAGAATCCATACTGGAGAGAAACCCCATGAATGTAGTGAATGCGGGAAGGCTTTTAGTCAAATAACGCACTTTATTCAACATCAGCGAATTCACACCGGTGAGAAACCTTATGAATGTAACGAATGCGGTAAAGCCTTTAGTCACAACTCATCCCGTGTTGAACATCAGTTTATTCATACTGGAGAGAAGCCCTACGAATGCAGCGAATGTGGGAAAGCCTTTAGTCACAACTCTTCCCTAATTGTCCATCAGTTTATTCACACTGGAGAGAAACCCTATGAATGTAGCGAGTGTGGCAAGGTCTTTAGTCAGAGCTCACACCTCTATCAACATCAGAGAACTCACACTGGAGAGAAACCATACACCTGTAAGGACTGCGGGAAAGCCTTCAGTGATCGATCAGCCCTTATTCGACACCAGAGAACTCATACTGGAGAAAAACCCTACAAGTGCAGAGAATGCGGTAAAGCTTTCAGCCAGAGCTCGACGCTCATAAAACACACAAAAACCCACACTGGAGAGAAACCGTATGCCTGTAAAGACTGTGGGAAAGCCTTCAGCCAGAGTTCATCCCTAACGCAACATCAGAAGATTCACACTGGAGAAAAACCGTTTGATTGTCACGAGTGTGGGAAAGCCTTCAGCAGGAGTGCCCATCTTACTCAGCACCAGAGGATTCACACCGGAGAGAAACCCTGTGGGTGTAATGAATGTGGCAGAGCTTTCAGGTGTAGTTCAGCCCTCATTAGGCATCAGAAACTTCACAGTGGAGAATCACTCTTAATGTCTGGTCATTCAGACCCATCACTTTGTTAAATACCAAAGAATCCTACCTTCATGAGTTACTATAATTGTGATCCCCCCCTTTTTTTCTGAGGCCTAAGAATCCTTGCCTCCCATTTTCTCCTGCAAAGAATTAGCTTCCAGCATACCACAAATCCATGTGAAAAAGTACTGATCTGGAAGCTGGAATATCCCGAGAGCAACCATCAGTCTTTCTGCATGTGTATTTTCATCATGCCTGAAGATGACTGATGTCACCATGAAGTGATTTTTTTTCCTAACCCCAGGATTGGGCTATTCCAACGTGCAAAGGAATTCCAGTTCTTTAAACTTGAGCTCATTGCCCCTCTTTGTACTGCTTGGAATACCGCCCATGTCCAAGTTAAATAGACTCATGGTCGATCGTATATTTGAAAACCGCCTTTCTAGTAATCTTTGCCTTAATGTAAATCATTCCTCCTCCTAGCAGTACTGTCCTCACTAAAAGGGCTACTTTGAACTCTCCCTTCTCACTGACTTCCCTGTCCTTCTCTTCTGTTTAAAGTGTTAGCTGCAGCTGGAAGTTCAACAGGGCTTGAGTTTCAGAGCTGAAAAGCACAACTGAAGATAGAGGGGAAAAGGGATTTTTGTTCTGAAAACTGTAAGACAAAGTACTCTGAAGAAATGGTGAGATCTGGAAATAATTTTTGAAATATATGAAATTCTTAGTAACTTTTAGAAATTGGAGGCAAGAAAAAAAAGAGTCCTCCAAGGAAGGTTCTTGTTATTAGAATCAGAGCTCTTCAAATAATGATAGTTAATGTGTTAGGTATAGCAAGGTCCTTTCAAAAAAACTTTTTTTTCCTGGAGCCAGTTAGTTTGGGTTGCGGAGAAACATTTGACCTTCCTTCCTTCAGAGTCCTCATCTATGATAACCTGATTTAGAATGAATTTATATGGTTAAAACTAATTTATGTGTTAAAGCTGCTTGTGATTGACTTACTTGTGTTGAGTGGAGGGAAGATTAACATACATGTTTCATCTCAAATTCCTCCAAGAAGGATAGTTTTCCTCCAAGCTTGGATAGTTTTCAGTATTGTGATGAGTTCATTGTCTGGTGACCCCAGGCTTGATTTGAGGATTGCAGGAAGAGAACTTTGTTGATTAAAGTAGGGCTTTCTGCCTTTTCTGAGGAGACATTAATCCTTTTTTGTTTGTTTATTATTATTATTATTATTATTATTATTATTATTATTATTATTTTAATCAAGAGGTAGTTGTCACATCACTCTTTTCAGTTTGCGAGTCAGTCTTCTTTAGGACCCAACTTAAAGTGTCACCTTTTCTTGACCACCACAATTGCAAATAAATTCCTCCTCTGGAAAACTTCACAACTCATGAGATCTCTCATATAGGCCTATAAAACATTTTTAGTTCCATCTTAATATCTGGTTTTATTTCCAGCTTTAACAGTTTTCCCCATGAGGAAAGTAATTATCTTGTTAGATCTTTTATTGTTGACTTTAAACAAAATAATACTTACACACAGTTTGAAAAATTCATATAAGATGAGTTCAGTGAAAAGTCATCCCTGTAGTACCTTTGATATGCATCATATATTAGATGATTTCTGGATATGTTTTGCCAAAGTCATGCATACAAAATACAGTGGCTTGAGATAAACATCTTGGGGAAAATCATATCATTCTTACATTTTACTTAATAAGAATTCAACCATATGCACCAAGACACCCACCTCCAAAAAAGCCCAACAGATAAATTAGTGAAATTAGAAATACTGTAAAATTATATTTTACATAGAGATATAGCATTCTGTTGTTTACTTGTACATTTATACGTATGAACACATAGTAGTCTGTGTTATCAGAGTTACACACAAAGCTATGTTACTGCATTTTATGAGCAACACAGAGATTTATAAGGACAATATTGATAATACTCTATTTCCACCTTATAGGCTCACCACTGAAAGTGATTTTGTTTCTCCAAAGAATTGAGAGGCACAGCCAATACATTTACATTTATGTATTACTTTATTCCTCTCCATGAATGTTTCTACTCAATTGGCCAGAGTTGATTATATCAGAAGATATGCCGATTCATCCTAGTAGGAAGGTTGCTATGATACAGCATCATGGAGAACTGGGAAATATTCTATTTCATCTAGGTTAAAAAAAAAAAATCCATTTCCCCAAATAAACCCAGCCTTAGGTATCCATAGCATTGCCTCAGTTTGTAAGGCAGACCTCATTTAAATCTCTTCTTTAGTAAATGTAAGAAAGGAAAGCTACCTGGCTTTTCCCTTTATCCTAGAACTGCAACTCAAGAGGCAGGCATTGATATTCCATTCCTTTCCTTTTATAAGCATAAAGTAAGGCAGAATTCAGTGTATAATTTGTTTTTTCTTTGTATTTTAGTTCTTCCCAGACCCTTTCCAGAGGATTTCCATGACAGTAATAGCTAATATTGTAGTAAGGGTTTATTCCATGCTAGACACTGTTCAGGCACCTTTGTATGCGTCAACTCATTCATTTCTTCCAACAATGCCCTTAAATATCCCTATTTTGTAGAGGAGGCCACTAGGACTCAGAAAGGCAAAGTCCCTGGCTGACCTGGAAACAGTATGGGGCTGAGATTTAAACTCGGGGAGTCCGGCTCAAGAGTCCTTGTTCTTAACCTTTTTACTCTACTGCCTCTCTGCACATGTGTATATGTACGTGTGGCCGAGATAAGGATTGAGGAAGGCTACTGAGCGGGCCAGTCACCAGGGCGCAATGGAATCACTTGTTAGGGATGATAGAAGCATCAGGGACTGATGGGATTAGGGATGTCCGAACTTGGCTTTTCTCCCCATTGTACAATCTGGGAGCCTTCAGGAGGACAATATGCCAAGAGTAGATGCTTCTGTATTGACTTTTCTCCCCATTGTACAATCTGGGAGCCTTCAGGAGGACAATATGCCAAGAGTAGACGCTTCTGTATTGACTTCTGTATTGACTTATAGAGCTCGGAGTTAGAGCACTCTTCACATTAAGACACCATCCAAAAGGAGCCTTGTTGGATGGGACAGTATCGTTGGAATTTTTCCTGTGTAGGCTCCAAAGGAAAGAGTTCTGGATTAAGGGATGCCTCCTCTAATATAATCCAGGTTACAGTGCCTACTTGGGCAACTGCTATAAATGCAATAAGGTATTAAATAGCATATAGGAAAGAGTGATTTTCCTTGGACAGAACAGCCCAACTTTACTTACCAGTCCCTTTTGAGAGAGGCCAGTGTTTTTGACAACTTCTATGTGGTCCTTGAGATTCTTAACTGTGACAAGGCCCCGGGACTCTTAAGTGCAGAGAGGCTGATAGTCCCTCCTGAAGAAGGCTTTCTGAATCCTGCCCTCTCCCCCTCCTTTGCACTGGATGACTGACATAGTAATAAGCGCACATGAGAAGGGATTCAGAGGTTTCTCTGTGGAGGAAAATCAAGAGGTCAGAGTTTGAGGAAATTAGGAGAAGAAAGAGAAAATCCATGAGATTCGTTTCCTTTTATTTCTTGCCGTTTTAAGAGTATGGCATAGGATGGGGCACCTGGGTGGCTCAGTAAGTTAAGCCTCTGCCTTCCGCCAGGGTTATGATCTCAGGATCATGGGATCGAGCCCCACATTGGGCTCTCTGCTCAGCAAGAAGCCCGCTTCCCCCTCTCTCTCTGCCTGCTTCTCTGCCTGCCTCTCTGCCTACTTGTGATCTCTCTGTCAAATAAATATTTAAAAAAAAAAAAAAGAGTATGGCATAGGATTCCTGCGACACTTCAACATTATTCCTAGTCCAGTGATGTCATTGTTCCGTTTACCATGAGAGGAAAGGTCTCCAGCAGAGGAGAAGGCTTGTAAATCAAAGATGAGTTGGCGGGGGGCGGGTGGGGTGGTCCTTCCCTGCCAAGCTGGTCCGAGGAGAGGGCAGTCGCAGACCCTGTCCTTTGAGGGCTTGGTTCCCTCCCTCCTGGAGCGCGCCCTTGCCTTGCCCCTGGCGAAAAGCTCTTCGGTATGTTGGCTACAAGGTTGTCCATCTTCTCTGCCATTTTGGGAGGATATTTCTTCTTTGTATCCTCAGTTGCCGGTGGTTATTTCTCACTTTCATTTTAACTTTAAAAACAATTTTTTAAAACTTTTATTTCTAAAGGCCGATTATTTATTTTTGAGATCTCCCACCCAAGGTGGGGCTCAACCCCACAAGGACATCAAGAGCCCCTCGCTCTTCCGACAGGGCCAGCCCGGCGCCCTTATCCTTCACGTTTTAGAACGTGTCCTCTGGCTTCCTCTTTCAGGGAAGCTCACATTCACGTAGCTCACCGGCCTCTTGTTCCTGCTTCTGGAACCGGCCTTTCTCCTGTTCTTGCTCATCGATCAGGTGGGGCCGTGAAGAGCTTTCCCTCTTACGACAGCTCTACCTGCTTAAGATGATAAGGACAGAAATTAGCCCCCTTCCTCCTGCCTTTTTCGTCTCTTGGCGCAGATGCTCTTGGAGGTTGGGTTCACCGTTTGTGGGACCGGGAGAGACGCTCAGGAGTTGTCATGGAGACCAGACGCGGACGAGTCGCGTGGAGGCGGGGCGAGGAAACGCCGCAGCTGCTGATTGGCCAGGAAGCCACGCCGTTGCTCAGAGACCGAGAGATTTCGGTGTGCGCAGGCGCATTGCTTTCCGGGCCGAGAGGTGTGGCGTCGTTTGTCTTGGGGTGTAAGTTGGGCTCCCCGCGCGCTTCTGGTCGGTTGATCCCAGGGCGGAGCCACCTGTCTTCGTATACCGCCGGGCGGGACTGATTTCCCGCGCCGCCCGCGTCCTGGCTCCGCCGCCACGTCCCGAACCCTCCAGCGAGGCAGGCCGGGGGCGCTGCGGCTTCGCTAGGGGTCCATCCACCAGCTCACCGCGGTCGCTCCTGGAGAGGCTGCGCGGCCCGGCAGGTGCCGGCCTGGTGGCTCGCACCGCGGCGCAGCGACTCGGGCGCCAAGGACGGGCGGTGGCCTCGGGCCGTCCGCTGCTGTGGGGCGGCCGAGGCCCGCTGTGTCCACTGTGGGAGCCCGGAGAGCCACTGACCGTGGGTGCAGCGAGGAACCCGTTCCTCCTGGGGGGTGGGGGAGCAGGGAGCGCGGGGGCATGTTCCAGAGGGCGCAGGACCCCATCTGGAGCCTTTGGAGCCTGCACGGGAAGAAACTGCAGGCGAGATTGTCCGTAGCCAAGGCAGGCTCCCATTCGGATGGTGTCTTAAATCAATGTGAGGGAATTTCCAGCAAGGTGGGCTGGGTGCCATCCCGGTCTCCTCCTGTCTCCTTTTCCTGTTTCAGGACTCCTGTGTTGGTATGAAGAAGCCCTAATCTGGCCCAATTCCCCGCATGTGGATGCTCTTGTCCAACTTTTCTGTGGTGCTGAGTGCTAAGATTTTATTTCGTCCCTCTTCACCTCGGCATTGGACTTCTCAAAGAGTAGAGATGGGAACCCTATTTGTCCCCTCCCTCACTTGGGGGAGAAATATTCAGGCCGATTTTTAATGACAGTAAAAATATTATATAACAGGGTAAGAAACTGTTTCCAGGTATTTTTCGTGTGTAAAATATAAGTCAAATATTTTAGTCCTTAATATGAATTAATGTCTC